ACAGCTTAGATGGATGCACAGTGTGAATAATAACACTTGTTATTACTAAGGTAGTTCAGGAGGTCAATTTTGAATATCGGAGCTGACCCTAGAGAAGGTGTTACCTTACTCAGATGGAGTTTAAGGTACTGGAGAAGGATTTAATAGTTTCTGTAAATAGTAATATGACAGTCGGGTGACTGAAATGGGAAGTTTATAATTTTTCTCAGTGTGCTCAGACGGTTAGAAGATACATCATGACATCAAATGTCGGTTTTGGTGAACAAATACGGATAAGGATACATATATAATTGCCCTAAGTGTAAAACTTGCTACAAATGTGGAAAGTTGATTATCGGATATCGTAGGAATCTTTAGCCACTTCCTATAACAAATATGGAAGTTGAACTAAACAGGAGTGACGGTCGGTGGGAAGGATCGACATTGATTTGGAATTTCAATTTTCCATATGGAATCCGAGTGGTGGATTGAGAAAGATCGCTTGAGGACATAAATTTGAGTGATGCTTATTTTAGAACTTCATAGTAGTTATATAGTTCAGTGATAGTGGTGTTATAGCATGTGGATGTCCATATTAGTGGATGCAAAGTGCTATTTCGAAGGAGCTTTATGAAGATTTTGGAGCAGCAACTCTACTTCATATATATAGACGGAGGAATTAGTCGAGAGATTAAATTAGACCATAAAGGATATGTTTGAGGCGTATATCCTAGATTTTCATGGATAGTTGGAAATGTTTACTTCACTTGTCAGAATTTTATCTGTGACATTGTTGGCACAAGGAGGTTAATGTGACAACTTTGGAGGTTTTGTATCTTTCACAATGCATACCTCTCATTTGTTGGTTGGAAATGGAAGTATGGGTTGTACAATCAGACCTTGACTTCATTAAAAAATATGTCGAAAAGAGATACTTCCCTTTGTATTGAATTACGCGCGGTTGGGAGACAACAGTAGGATGTTGTAAATAGTTGAACTCGTATGCTAGAGTTTTTCTATCAGGGAGTAGCTTGCTCGTTCTGTTTTCTATATAGGAAGAAGGCGATTTTTGGAGAAAGGTAAATTTTACTTATTACATTGACTTTTAAAAGATTGTGTTTCGCAATTGAGGCAGTCGCCTCTGAATTAGCTTTACCAAATTATTAGCGCTGGGTGCATAGGAGTTTGTGCATATATTCTATGGCACTTGGAGGTATGTAGATCATTCCCTTGTTGACATGGGAGGATTACGTTGTTATTTTATACAACCTACGCATCGTATAATTATTGTGTTTCTTAAAATATAGGAACCCTGTCTACCACTTGGTATATTGGAGTTAAGTGGAGCCCTTATAGTGAGGTTGCGTCTACTTGGGAATAGGAGGATGTTTTTCGCTCACAGTTTTCAAGCATAATGGAAGAATAATGGAAGGAAGTAAGGGCGAATTCCGAGGACGGAATTCCTTTTGTTAGGGGGGAAGAATATAATACCCCTAATTTTAAAAGGATAGTCTCGATATTTATTTATTTATTTTTATTGTATTTTTTTTAATTGTTTAATTGATTATTTGACTAATTATTTATGTGTTTAATTGAATTAAGTATTACTTGATTAATTGGCTACTTATTTATGTGTTATTGGTATTTTGTCTAGGTGTTATTTGTATTATTTGTTTAATTAGATTGTGTGCTTAAATGATGTATTTGATTAATTGTAATTAATTGTAAATTAAATGATTAAATATTTTATTTTATTTTATTTTATTTTATGGTTATGGTTAGTGGTAATGGGCTAACTAATTGGGTCACATGGACTACTTGGATAGGAGGTTGAATGGGTATGAATAATTACCCATAGATAGTTCTATATGTATATATATAGATATATATGTATATACATATATATAAAAAGGAAAGTAATTTATTAATATTATAGTAACTTTAGTATTAATAAATAATCTGATGTATATATTTTATATATTTATATAATAAGGATACGTAACATGTTTTAAGTTACCTTTTTAATATTATGGTAACTTTAGTATAAATAAATAATCTGATATATATATTTTATTTATTTAATGAGGATACAGATAGATTATATACGTAACATGTTTTAAGTTACTTTATAATATTATAGTAACTTAAGTATTATTGGATAATCCATTAATAAATAATGGAATGTGTATAATTTATTTATTTAATAAACATATATATAAATTATATACGTAACATATTTTACTTACCTTTTTAATATATATATAAAAGAGAAAGTAATTTATTAATTACTTTTATGGTAATTTGGGTAGTAATATTTAATCTGATGTATATGTTTATTTAAATAATAAAAATATACATAGATTTGATACGTGTTATGTTTTAAGTTACTTTATAATATTATGGTAACTTAAATATTATTGGATAATCCATTAATAAATAATGGAATGTGTATAATTTATTTATATAATAAACATATACATAAATTATATACGTAACATATTTTGCTTACCTTTTAAATATTTTTATTTTCATTTTTTTTTAGTTGACTTGGATTGGGAAAAGGGTTAGGGTTATTTTATTTAGCCTATAAATATATAGCTATAGGCTGTAAAAGGGGGTTAGAAATATTCACGTGATATATACTAGAGAGATAGTGTTAGAGAGGAAAGGAGGAAAAGGAAGGAATGAGGAGAAAAACCCTGTAGGAAGAAGTTTAACTTTCGATCCGAAAGTTTAAGGCAAGTACTTCTTCTATCTCTTTCCCTTTGATTCGTGTTTCTGTACATGCCTAGGAAATTTCAGGATTTATTAAACACATAAAATTAAATAATTATGCATGTTTAATTGGGTTAGAACATAGGTTTTATGAAATTGGTTCATATCTATTCTTGTGTTATGAATTGATAAAATGTATGATTTTGATTTGATTTCTTATGTGAATTTTTACATGTTTAAATTATGTATTTTTCATATCTGTGGAATGATGGAACGTAAAAACATGCCTAGGATTCCTGAACATTAAATAGGGACTAGGTTTGGGTTTTAATAAATTTAAATAGACTTGATCATAATGATGCTTGCTATTTGAATGTTTAAAACAAACGAATGGATTTAATCTTTTAAAATATTATAGCAATTGAGATTAAATGTGTAGGATGAATTGGATATAGAGAATCCTTATTTAACGGTATAATAAAATATCATCATGTATAAGATTCAGTTTGTGTAGGACATATGATATAGGAAGTTTAAAGAAATAATAAGTCATTCCTATTATGTGATAACTTGATATCATATTTATCATAGTTATTTATGGAATGTTTGATGTATTTCCTTAATTGTTACATCAATTGTTGGATTGTGTGGTTTAATGCACCGGTATGGGACGGTGGCATTCTAGGGATGGATTAACTTATCAGTTAAGTCCTACCTATTTTATATAAGGGAATGGATTAACTAAAATGTTAAGTCCTACTTATATTTAAGTCAGGTCAGCTAAACAAGTTGAATGACTTATGGAGGATTAATTTATTATATAAGGGAATGGATTAACTAAAATGTTAAGTTCTACTTATATTCAAGTCAGGTCAGCTGAACAAGTTGAATAACTTATGGAGGATTAATTTATACTGGATTGGAGGGTTACTAGATTATATATATATAAGTATGGTGCCATAATATGAGCTTGAGTCTCAGGATTAATGGTTAGGGCACGTATATCGTCAGGGATGTGTAGCTAGATATAGTGTAGTTGTGTACCCTGGTAGGTCTAGGTAGTCATGCCCACTATATGTGCGTTTTGCATGTTGCCTACTATTCAGGTTGAGACAACCCTATAGTCTAGTGAGGTTCTTTTAGTGTGTGTTTATATATATATACGGACTACTAGTTACTGTTGGATTGACTAGGATGTATACATATATCGTATCTCTGCTTGGACTGTAGTAGAGTAGAACTTGTTTGTGGGCCTGACCCACCATTATTTTTCAGGTGTTCGTCAGGAGTAGAGGTTGTTCGTGCTGAGCATGAATCAGTCTGCTTCATTCTTCCGATGCTACATAGGAGTTCCTTTATGATTCAGTTACCTGATTTAGACAGTTATTGCTGTTATTTGTTTAGTTTGGATTTTCTAGGGGTCCACACAGTATGGATTCCCGAGTTGTATTTTGGAGGATCAGTTGTATCAGAAGAGTTTATTAATTAATGAAAATATATTCTGAGGTTTATTATTAGATTATCATTTTAGTTTCTTGTCAGCATTTTATTTATTCTTCTTTATTCTTTTGTACTCTATGTTCGTTTATTACCGATTTGTTTTTGATATCCTCGGGTATTCGGGCGTGGGCCTGGCCAACCCGCATTCGGGAATCCGGGGGTATCACATGTTGGTCGAATGATTGAGTCATAGAGACAGGATCCAAATTTGGATGTCATTCACACATTGATTTCTAGTGGTGAGATAGTGAAAGATTGGACCTTACATGCAGATGGAGGTCTACAGTTCAGAGGTTTGATGGTTGTTCCCGTTAATTGTTGTGAGAATGTTCTACGGGAATTCCATACTTCCAGCTTTGCAGTTCATCCAGGTGGTACCAAGATGTATCACAATTTGAGATGTCAGTATTGGTGGTGGAATAAAGAAAGGTGTAGCATAGTTTGTGGCTAGATGCCTCACTTGTTAGCAGGTGAAGGCCGAGCACCAGAGACCCACTGGTTTATTGCACCCATTACCGGTAGCGCGGTGGAAATGGGAGTTTATTGTAATGGAGTTCCATTGTCTATTGTTCGGATAGGGATGCCAAGTTTACATCGAAGTTTTGGGATGAACTTCACATAGCATTTGGTTTACTGCTACATTTTAGTACGACATTCTATCCACAGACGGACGACCATTCGGAGCGTACCATCTAGATTTTGGAGGACATGCTTCAGGCCTGTGTACTTAACTTAGGTGGTAGTTGGGAGGATATTTGCCATTTATTGAGTTTGCCTACAACAACAGTTATAAGTCGAGCATTGAGATGGTTCTATTTGAGGCGTTGTATGATAGGCCTTGTCAATCTCCTGTTTATTGGACAGAGGTGGGCGAGATAGCCACCTTGGGACCAGACATCATGCTTGATATTACAAAGAAGATCAAGTTGATTAGAAAGAGATTGCTGACATCTCAGAGCCAACAGAAAGGTTATGCAGATAGGCGGAGACGACTATTATCCTTCAAGGTAGGGGACCACGTTTTTCTTCGGGTTACTCCACGGAAAGGATTGTTGAAGTTCGGGAAGAGTAGCAAGTTGTCGCCATGATTTATTGAGCCTTTTGAGATTCTGGAGCTAGTAGAAAAGGTTACCTACAAACTTGCATTGCCACCACAGATGGACAAACTCCATAATGTTTTTTATATGTCGATGCTACGGAAGTATGAGCCGTATCCTTCTTACGTTCTAAGTTGGGTTGATACGGACATGGATGATGATGTTTCCTACGAGGAGGGACTAATTCAGATCCTTGACATACGACCAAAGCTGTTTAGTGACAAAACAATGCCGCTAATGAAGGTTCTATGGAGATATCACGGAGTTGAGGAGGTTACTTGGGAATGAGAACAAGAAGTCCATTTTAAGTACCCGGAATTGTTTTTTGCCCTAGGTATGGAATGATTTCGGGGACAAAATCTCTTTAAATTAGGGAGATTGTGACATTTCTCAATTTTCCATTTTTTGGGCATTTTTCAAAATTTTGGATTTTTGGTCCGGGAGGTCCCGTACCCAGATTTTTCATTATTGGGGCTACTTTTCGGGATCATTACATTTTATATTTTATTAATTGGGATATATCTATGTGGTTGTGTGTTTTATTTTATATATATAGCATGTCTAGGGTATTTATATGCATGGAAGGGCAAGATAGTCAATTGGTGGGTCAAAGTGGACCCCACATTGACCAAGCATTACACAAATAGGCCATATACTTAGATTTTTGGCATTCTTTCTCCTTCATAGCCGAGACCTCCTTTTTCTCTCTAGAATACACTTTTTCTCTCTAAAATCTCAAGATTTAAGCTTTAATTTCATCTATTTCTTATGGGAGTTGAGCTTTACCATAGAAGACAAAGTTAATGAGCTTGATGAAGGCTATGATCGGAGTTGATTCTCAATTGGACCACTTTGAATTTATGAAAATGTGATGGCCCTAATTTTTAGGCCAGCGCGTCTTTTGATGAACCGAACGTGGATCCGATAACGAATCCAGAATGCAGAAGTAAGAAACAAGATAACGGTATCCCAAGGCATAACACACCTCTAACACACTTTGATGACCTTCCATGAGGTCGTGGAACTCAATGAGAATTGACGCGGAAGTAAAAAAATCAGAAATATGACAAATAAGCCCCCAGGGGCAAAATAATCATTTTACATGGAAATGACGTCCCTAGAATGTATATTATTCCCAAGACACATCAATGACTTCCCGTGAAGTCACAGAACTCAAAAGAAGGTAGCGGAAGCGAATTACAAGAAAACCGGACAAAAATAGCCCAAAGGGCAAAATGGTCATTTCTGAAAATATAAAATAGGGTGCTAACAAGCACACCACTGGGAAAACAGCAAAAAATTAATCAAGTTAGACTCAAGAATCACTTGATTCAGAGTCCGGATGGAAGAGAAAAGTCAAAACAATGTTTTGACGTCGCCGCGGCCGTAAATTACCTGGGCAAAATGCTAAAATCGTGTGTCGTTTTGAGGTACTAAACGACGTTTTCTGGAAAAACACGAAGAAGAAACCCCTATCAAAATAATTTTTCCAAGCTGATCATATCAAAAGAAAATTTTATTTTTGATGTGAAATCCCCAAAATGACCTTACAACTAACTTTCTCAAATAGTGCCGATGCGCACAGTAAATTAGATTTGACGCGGTGTTTCCAGGTCTGAGATAACATTTTCTGGAAAAACACGAAGAAGAAAACCTCTCTAAAATTGAGTTTTCTACCCGAATTTGTAAAAGGAAATGAGAAAAACACACTAAAAAATCCCCAAAATGCCCCTAGATCAGAACTAGACAAGAGGGCAAAAAGATGCTACAATAACTATCATCCATATCTGAGATTAAAAATGGGTTATCAAACGAATTTTTATGGAAAAACACAAAAAGAAACCACTCCAGAAATCAAAATTTCTACCCAATGGAGCAAAAGAAAATGAAAAAAACTCACTGTAAAATGTCCAAAATGCCCCTCCATGAAACAGGTCATGGGGGTTAAAAAGCTGCAAAAAATACAAACTGAAAGCTGAACTTTGCGAGGGATTTCCGGTACCAAAATGACATTTTCTGGAAAAACATGAAGAAAAAACCCCCCTTAAAATCACATTTTCTAAGTGACCATGTAAAGATCAGAATTTATTTCTTGAAGGAAAACCCCTAAATGCCCTAAAATTAGATTATGCAATAAAAATGTAAAATGAGTCCATAAGAGGCTCAAATCACGAAGGATGAGCTTTTTCTTGAAAACGATCATGCACGCAAATGTAACCTACCTATTATGATATGCTGTAATGGTCCACGGCTTAAAAATATCGCCGATGCAAAATTCGACCCCCCCACGGCCAAAAAGGCAAAAATGAATTAGAAATGGAAAATTTGAAAACTAAAATTAACAAATGATTTCAAATTACCATTTGGCATTTGGCCACACTTCATGCATATTAAGTAGGTCCTAATGAATGTGTTCGTGCACACTTTGCATCACCCAATTTGGAAATGAACTCTTAAAGGCTCGGATTTTACTATTTTAGCTCAAAATGCAAAGTATGAAACTAAAATGCAAAAATGAAAACAAAATGGTGATTGGCCCTTGGCCACACCTCATACATATTAAATGAATGCTAGATATGAATTTCATACCGGATGCACACTCTGGTGCAAAAATGTCATGCTAAAACCCTAATTTCTCATATATTCTCATTAAAGGCAAGATTTCAACATTTATGAATATACATGAATTTCAAATATGGTTTGGCCCTTGGCCTCATATCATATACATAAAATGAGAATAAAAAAGTATGCTTAGGCACACATTACAAGTTTAGAATCAATATATACACATTTGACAAATAAGGCTACAAATGGCTTTTCAAGCCAACCTTTACAAGAATGGAACATTTAAGTCCACAAATCATCCAAGCATAACGAGAATCTCAACCTTGATTCTTATACCTAAAAAATGTCCCCACTACGTGGGTGAGTAACATAAAGCTACTCGTAGGAAATAAGCATGCATCGACCTAACGTTTTACAAGTTTATTACATTAACTTAAAATAATTCAAAAAGGTCATGCCACCTAACGTCTATGTCAAAGATGAGACTCAGGGAGTATCCTAAGCTACCTTAAAACATTTCTAGCATAAATCACACCATTCATGTAATTCAAACAATATAGAAGCATGCTATACAAAGCAACAAGATATAGATCTTCAAAGCCATTAACTTGAAATCTAAAATGTGAAAACAACTAAAGTGAGTCATACCACCTAACGTCTATGTTCCAAATGAATTTATAGAATCATTCCTAAGTTGCATTTAAACAACATAGCATAGATGTACTTAACAACATTAAAATCCTGCAATGATTCATTATAAATCATAATGCCTGAATGTACTTAACAACATCAAAAACCTGAAATGATTCATTAGAAATCATAATGCCTGAATGTACTTAACAACATCAAAACCTGCAATGATTCATTAGAAATCATAATGCCTTAATGTACTTAACAACATTAAATCACCAATAACCAAAACCACAAGTCACAATTAAACATTGGTTGTCAACTTGGAATTGAATGCGAAATCAAGTAGTGGAAGACTTGGACATCAAATCCTGGATAAAGCCAAGACCATGGTTATTTAAGGCATTAACCCGCTGGGAATACCACCCTAAGTGCGCACTATAAATGGGGAGAACTCATACCTCCCGCACTAGAGTCAAACTCTAGCCATGTCTCTGTAACAATGTCCCAAGTGACTCCAAAATAAATAAGTTAACAACTTATATACGAAATATATATAAAACACGAAACTACATTCCATGCACAAGTAGGTTGTAACCACACAACTCATGCTCTAAATCCATAACTACTATAGGATGACAAATGTCGAATCTTCAGAGCGCGATTTTTTACACGCTATAATAACATCACATGTCGAATCTTTAGTGTGCGATTCGTTACACGCTATAACAATATAATTCAATATTGAAAATATAAACTGAAGAATCTAATACAAGTCCAAAATTATGCTTTAAACATACCACCAATGTCAAACTCATGATTAAATCAATAATGCGATAGAAACGAAAATTAATCAAGCAAATTAATTAATTTATCTAAGTTTCAATTCTCAACCAAATGGTTCCTAATTAACACATGTTATACAACATAACTTGATCATTACATATATCAATTCAAAAACTTAATTAGGCCATTGAAACAACAAAATGGAATTTAATTAAATCATGATAATCAAATCCCTAATTTCTAAAATAATATCAAATGGTCCCAAATTAACATACGCTAGTATACAAGTCCTAGTTATCACAATTATCAAATTAAAAACTTGATTAAGCCAATGGAACCTTTAAAGTAGATTTTAATTAATCCTTTTAATTAAAATCTCTAAAATTTCATACTCATCCAATGCTCTAAAATTAAAGTATGTTAAAGAACATGTCAAGACTTAATTTAAAAGCATATCATAAGTTAATTTCATGTAAGGTACGTCCATGAGAATTAAACTTTTACAAAAGATAATTATTAAATAAAAAATGCAATTCTTATTCAATTAATTCTAATTTAATATATGTTAACAAACATATTAAGGCCTAATTTATCATCATGCCACAATTCAATTCTAAGCTATATACATCCTTGTAAATTAAATCTTATATAAAGAAATAAATATTACTAATTTTCTAGATTTGATACAAGGCATGCAAACAAGTTGTATAATCATGAAAAACACTCAATACAACACATACATAATCCTAAAACATCTCCTACCTCAATTTGAGATGGAAATCTCAAAAGCCACCAAAATGAAACGGCTCCGAATCCGACAATACTTCGGCGTTTTGTCGAGGACAACGTCGTGAACATTAAACTCCAAAGAGGACCTACCAAAATCCTAACTTGACCTCAAACCCGAACTCAAAAATTGGCCAAAAACAGGTTCTAATAAGGGGGAAAGATGCGCGTAGTCAAGACAAACACAAAACGCAAAGGCACTATGACTTTTTAACAAAGGGAAGGAGGTTTAATTGAGATAAGAAGGGTGGCAGCCCCCCTTGGGCTACCATGGCAGCTTCTGGTCATGCATGAAGAGAGGGGAAGATGACTTTTTAATTTTATAACCCCCTATTTATAGGAAAACCCTAAAAGTGCTTTGAAAGGGCCCTGCTGGGTCCGGAAAAGTGAAATTTGAACAGACGCGCTTAAATGGAAAAACTCTGTGAACGAAAAAGAACTGAAATGAGAAAATATGAACAACAGAAGAAATGGCATAATAAACTGAGTCTCGAGCAGAAAGATATGCTCCGAATAAGTTC